AAAGCAGGAACTCGGTTAATAAAATTGAGACACTGCAAAGAACTCACCCAAAAGCACCATTTATTCTATCAGACTGAGTTTCCGTTATATTTTAGTCTATAGTATATATACCGGCTATTAATCCAGATACGAAGTTAACTACAAGCACTGTCTATATACATGGCGCTAGAGAGAACTACAGATAGTCGCACAAGCCACAGTTCCCCAGCTATCTAGTTTTCCTGTAGGCTCACGATACTGCCATTCCCAATTGCAATCCCGGCCTGACTCAAGACAGGCATACCGAGATTGAAGAACCATAATTACAATACACCATATATCTGAGACCTAATATGTAACTTCTAGTTTCCCAGGCGATATATGGCCTTTCTGTTAGCGAAAATAACTTCACCATTGCTGTCACACGCAGGTGTGGGGGCTGTCTTGCTCCTACTTGTATCGCAGAATGGCAGGCCTCGTTTGTAAGACACACGTGACTCTTTACTGATGGACTTGACTTGCGATAGATGCACTCTGTTCCAGAAGACTGTTATTCTGTATGAGGTGTATTCGTCCTGAGAACTGATAGAAATGTAGCTTTTTATTATGACCGTACCCGAAGAGTGTTCACATGGCTCTAAATGATTTGGATGACAACGAGGAGTTAAGAGTGGGACTTGGGAAGCTTCCCCAGCGAGTACAATGTTTACCATATACCTACGTCCAAGAGACTTCAAATGGAAAGACTACTAACAAGCTCTCTGACAAGCCACCTGGTACAAATAAGTAACGACAGCTGTAGGATATGACCTGAATAGCTTACAGCAAAGGAAGTATCGCTTGAAAGATATGCAAAGACTTCTTACCTGCCAAAGATATTCGATTTATACCGATCCGTGAATCCTTCGGCAGCGGAATCCACAAATAAGTAAACCCCCACCATAACGGCAAAGCGTAGTTTCGAGCACAATGTCCCTGACAGGCTTTTATAAATCTCCCGACTGTTCAACATTCATTTCATACGAGGGTAGGTAGAGACAGCCAGTAACTGCACTAATAACAGGTCTTATTTACATTGAGTCTGGTAGCACCTTCAAAAAAGAGATCCAGCTGTCCCAATTAAACCCTCAAAAATATCAACAATAGAGGTCCCTACACAGACCGAAAAGCAACAGTAACTCAAATTCAATAAGGTTACCCAATAACAGGTCTTAAGGTGTCGTTGAGTTATACATTCCGAACCTGTGTCATCTTTGCCAGCCAGTACTCTTGGATACAATCTTCATTCTAAGAAGGTTACATATTAACATCAGGTCGTGTTGCCCTTGAACGCCGGCGAACCAGTTGGATTGACAATGATTTTCACTTCTCTGTCTTTCCAATTGTATTCTGTCGACATCTTCCTTTCTCTCGATGCAGAGCCTATAGTCATCCGAAATAATATCTTAATTACAGGATGAATCTAATAGCTAAGTTTGCCAGCAAGGGTTTAATTACTTAAGTCCGCCAGAAGATATAGTATATATCACTAAGTGGAAAAGTATCTCTCTTCTTATACTTCTCTTATTGTTTTCCTGTAGCGTCCTGGTAGTTTTTATACCACGTGATATTCCATGACTTTTGGTGGTGGGATTCTCACTTACCTGATTGGCTGAAAAGTTGATTTTCAACCCGGGAATAGCACGGACCAATCGGGCAAGTTGAAAATCAACATCCGAGCCAATCAGGTTCGCGTCTCCGTAACCACCAAAACACCCTGCCTCATCCGTTTTAAAATTTCAAAGTGCTCTCACGCCCCGTACAGATTTGAGAATTAGATGAGATCGATACTGGAATATTTCCTCTTATCTAAAGTATGTTTCCCCCTATTGAAGGTATCTCAGATGTGGTTTTGCTGTGGTGGCTGTAGTGGTTGGTGTTGAAGTTGGCGATAACCTCACAGTTGTTTAAAAATTTAAAATCGCAATTAAGACATTATGAATCGTTAAAAAATAAAAGAATATTATGAACTGATCATTGTGTCCATCCTATAATCACCTAGCAATACGTTTTCTAGTAGTAAGTATGAGTAATTGTAGAGTTGGCGATAGCTTTACATTCACATTTGTTCAAAAGTTTTAAAAGTCAGCTACGCCACCACTATCTCTGCGTACTGAAGAGCCTGTAGATTGTTAAATCTCTTCAGGGTGTTTGAAGCACGCGTTTGAAGATGATAACGGTGGCAGTCTGAAAATGTTGTAGAATACTATGGGGCGCAAGAGAGGAGCATGTCAATCCGATGCAAGCTGTTGTTACACAGGCTTATTAGGTACATATACGATGATCCGACAGAGTACCGATGCCTTACCTATTCCTCTTTCGTAAGATCGAGCTTGTCTGTTGAATTATAGATAATGTAATGAAATGGAACTTTGAGTCGATCAAGCCATGTCCTGGATAGACAACACCTTCGAGCTGGCCTTACTAGGTAAGAACGTCGTCAAACAAAAGTTAACACTGCAGGAAGGTGAAGATAATGTTGGAGACCGTGACTTGATGGCAGAGAACATACGCACTCCGACATATCGTTTGGCGACAAATAAGTGTTTCATCTGAAAAATCTAGGCCATTATCAAACTTCTCTTACACGTCTTGGCCGGCTGTGAGATTTACAAATGCTGTATTGGTAACCTCAAGATTAGTCCAGCACAGGCCTGGGAGATTCGTAGCCAGAGTAAGCTTACTGTAAAGAAAACTGATTACAAAACATAAAGAGGAAAGCAAGAAGATAACACTTAGCCTTAGTAATAATAATAAGCGCTAGATACTCAATCCTTTGTAAGGGTTTGATTAAAAGTTGAAGATCTGTCGTCAGTGATGTGATCCTGGATTGGTTGTAAGCTTGCTTGGGAGATACTCAGAGGGTGACGACAATGGTAACGCTTTGAACTAGTAGAACAGGCAGGTTCATGCTGGCTCGTTGGTGAGGGAGTTTTCTACCTCTATAACGACGGTTGTTAATCTCGTAGAGGTGATAATGGTTTGCTGAATATACCTTTCGTCTGTAATAGATGGCTCAGCAGTAGGTCGAATCTCGGCGAGAATCAAGTCAATATAATTCCCTATAGATTGAATCTCAGTGATAGTCTTCTGTAGGTTTTGGGGAGGACAAGATTGTTTAGTTGTTTGAGTTGCCTAGTATGCTTTGGTACCGTCTCTGCCATAAATCCTTGTCGCTCACCTTAACGATCTAGCCCACCGCCGACGGCAATACTGTGTCGTGCTTTCTCCACTCCTACACGGTCTTTTCTCTCAGGAACGCTTTCGTCGACATGCACCTCATAGACAACGAAGACCTTTTGCCGAAGGTCTCGCTAAGATGATGTGAAGATAGCAATGTTATCTGCCTGTCCGAGCTTATCACGCCAAGACCGTGCGACCTATTGGATGTATCGGAAGTTTCAGTGTCGATGGAGGGGATTCGGAAAGACATGCTGGCTTTGTCGCGTAAGTATTTGTCGGCCGGTGTATCAGAGGCGCACCTTAGGCGAACAGGAGATCTACTAAATCCAGGCTGGACTCTTTGCTTCGGTCTGCCCGTGCGTGTGGGCCTTCTAGTCTCATCTTGGGTTTGCCCTTATTGCTTTCCTTGAGTTTGTACTTATCGCTGTTACATCTTGGTTTTGCTAATGCGTTCTGTCCCTCCTGTTGTAACCCTCGTAAAGACTTCTGTTCTGCTGAGGACAGGCACCCTGACATCCCAGGTATCCAGCCTAGGCTCTTTACCTTTTGCTCATTCTCTCATCTTGACACCTCTGCCCTGGCCAAATTGCTCCAATCCTACAGCGCTATCTACCGCCAAAACTGTTGAGCTCCTATGTGTCTACTCGAAGTCGAAGATTGCGTAAGCAACAATTACTGCCCGGACGGTAAGAGCTCATATCCTGATAGCTCTAGCGTTGGAGGGGCTAGTGTGCAGACAAGAAGTTCGGCGTTGTCGAAACGGCATTCATAGGACAAGACGGACATAAATTGAGTCTCAATAGGGCGATTTTAAAGGAGGATCTTCAAAAGGTCGATGCCATTAGACAAGCATTAAGGAAACAGGTAGCTACAGTGCTGCCAGGCAATTTGTTGTTGGATTGGTTCCATAAGTAGTATGGCTTATTAGGTGAGGAAGTCGGTGTGACAGCACCTGGTAAAGGCACTGCCATAGCTGTGACCGCAACAAAGGCGTGCCCGCAAAATCGCAATACAAGTAGGTACTAAGCCTTATCGCTCAGATAGGGAATAGCTACCTAAGGTATTAACCCAATCTGGATGTCAGATTGCGTAAACATGTGAGATACAGTAGCCAAAGACAGAAACAGTTCTTGGGTTCCAGGACGCAGAGATCGAGAACACAAGAAAGTAAGTCACTTCCATCCCAAGTGATATCTAACAAGAACGAAAGGAGTAATTCCAGCCCGATACCCGTCCCCGAGACAGTAGCCGAGACAACAGGGCGGCAGCACTTCAATACGTCCAAGATTTCGTGGTTGAAACACAAACAACTCATATTCAGCAATATCCATTGACTTAGGACGCTCTGCAAGCTATATGTCTATCCTTTAGGCTCGTTCTGTAGCCTCTGGATTTTCTGCAGGCCGGAGCAATTGGACACTGACAGCACTGTCCTATTGGCCGAGGCTAGTCTCTATAGAAAATGGAACTGCTTAAATGTTATACTAACTCTTATTTATTTATAGATGATCTCTGAACAATTACTGCGGGCATTGGCCCTGCGCAGTAGCATTACAACCACTCGGCAACTCCGCCATACCCCCAAAGTAAGCGTTAAATACCAATAGCAGTCGCGATAGTAGCCTGCTCGCAGATAGACATGAAATCCCTTTCGCTTCGAAAGGTGCTCAAGGTGAAAATGTCTCGTTGTCCTTTACAGTAATACTGCAATCATTCTTCTCTGGCTCAACACTCCCATATTCACTCTGGTTACTTTTGTCTAAGCTCTCCTGCTCACCAGCCTCACGGTCGGGAACCTCCTAGGTGCTTTGGCAGGGCGATATCTGTTCCAAGGTTGACATCGGCTGGCGGATGTGTTTGTCGGCGGCTGGGACGTCAGGGAAGTAAGCCTGGAAGAAGTGGTGGGCCTGAGCGTTGACGAGATCCATAGTGATGAGGGCTTTCAAGCCAGGTCTCGAAGTGGCTCGGTCTTGGAGACACGCCTTGACCTCGCTCTTGTGGTACTGCTCGGTTGAAGCCGCGAGTTTGATCAGCATGAGAGTTGTCCGTACTCGAGGGCGGAAGCCGCGGACAAATTTCCAGGGTCATTGACCGTTATTACTATGGATGCGATGGGCAGCTTCTATGAATTGCTTGGGGATAAAACATGGCCGGAAATTAAGGGCATGAATGATATCAACGTAGTCCAGGTCGATGTCAATAGCGATATCTATAAATTTGGTGAAGACCCCTTTACGAGATGTAGTTGCAGGTTTATCATCAAATATGTTAATTTATTAATACGTTCCTGTACGTAATGAGTGGAAGAGAGGAAAGTGATATGAAGATAAACTGCGTCATAGAAACAAAAAAACACCGGCGTGTGATTGCCGTGTGTGGTTGTGGTGCTTTTGGAACAGACAAAATACCAGGCAAAGAGTGAGCATAGCACCAGGACGTGATCGATGTTACCTTACGAAGTGGAAGCGTAGGCTAAACGCGCCACAACGCGTAACAGGTTTTTGGAACGAGTGATGTGGCAGTGCTACCGTAGCCATATATAATTGCCAGTTTTTTCGAAGGTAGAGGCTCTAACGGCAAAACCTGGTAAGCATCTTATCAATATTGTGTATTATAGCTATCCTCCTCCATCCCGCGGATCTATAACATCTTTCACTAGAGCTTGGAGCGCCGGGGAATTATCCCACATATCGAGATCCCAGACAGAAAGCAGCATTATAGTCCGGACGCCGTCACAAGCCTGGTTAAGAACCCTGACAATTTACTTAAGCTTGTGAGACCGGTCGAGTGGAACGCCATCAAGAGAAAGGTTTATCAAACAGGCAGTACGGATGCATTCTTCGGGAACCTAAAGACTTGCTGCGAGAGGAGTTATAAGCCTACAACGTCAAAGTTAGAAGCGAGGACCGTTTTGTGAAGTTGGTTGCCCAACAATAAGAAGATGTCGATCAGATCACTACATCTTTCAACAACAACTTGAAAGAAAGAAATAACTTTGTATATTAAACTCTCTACCATCCGTAGCATAGTCACAGGTTCGACAGACTTTATTAAGTGGATTCATGCCGAGGTAACATGAACGACCACACCCATGACCCAACCCTACGACTAGCCAATCGACTGTTCCCCACGTCAGAGACGAGAACATCGCAATCGCACCAATACACAAGGAGGTTTTGCCATTGTGGAAAGACTAAGAGATGGATATCAGTACGATGATTGACTGCACCTTGCTTCTCTCCCCCAACGCGTAACTGAGCCGGCAATTGGAGCTCTTTATCGATGCTGGCGAGGTACCAAAGACATTATTATACCAATTCACCAGCCAACATCTGCGATACAAAGAGACAGGTGTCTTCATCCACACAAAGACCGCCACAAGGCGCTACCCAGAGGGCAAAGTTCAGCTAGGGATCTAGCTAGCAACGTGGTTTGCTACGACAACTAACACCGGTTCTGCTAGTTGTCTGCGCCAAGTTAGAGCTGCATTTCGCGTTGGACTAATGTGTTATGAGGTTCTTAGGCCTGTGAATATTAGGGGTTTGCGCACGGTGAAAGACATACATCACCTGCTTGCTGTCTTAAGACAATTGGGAAATTAGGTCGGCATCGAATTCCATGACTGGGGTGGCAGGGTGTTGTGGAGTGACTCTTATGGATTGATTTATAGCGAACGATGATGGTTTATTACACTTAATGCTTTATGAACAAGACATGACGCAATGCGCAGAAACTGACTCCTTACGTTGAGTGAAGAGAATGCTTCTTTGACGCCTTGAGGATGAGTAGGAGTAAACAAAACAAAAGACGGAAAATGGTTAAACACTTCCATTTCCGATAAGCTCTGCAGGTATTGCAATACGTATACCTTCCTTTGGTAGACAGGCGTAATGCATTTTCACTCTTAAATTCAGCAGAGACTTGGATCGACAAGAGAAACTAAGATGGACTAGAAAATTTGGTAAGAGAGCATCTGGAGTCAGCTGAACATGCGGCATGTCAACGGGTTACCAAACGCCTCAAAGATCCCGACGAAAGTTCATACAGACCAAAAAGCAATCAATCATATACAGGAGCTATTACTGGATTCTAACTGGCAGAAAAGCAACACCATTAGTAACAATCGCATATTTTGCAAGTAGGTTCTATACGGCTTTTAGCCATTCATAAGTTTAGTGTAGTCACTGTTAGAATACTATACGTGGTCCTTGTCACGCCGAAAGTATAGCAAAATAGTGCCAACCAAGGGGCAAGGGTATCGTTTCTGCGGTGAACCAGGAGATTGTGAGTTTGTTTTCCTACGCCACATTTATCATACCATTAGAGTGATCTAGGTAAGCTACAGGAATGTATAACGCTCATTAGAGTGTAGGCAAGTCCAGCTTTGGTGTAATGACTGGTTGTTTGCTCACCCATAATACCATTCGTTATCTCTTACCATATGTGACTCAGAAACGTCCGTACATCATCGTATACAAGACAAGGTGGGATGGTGGAACAGAACATGCCATGACTAATGCTAAGGGGTGTGCGAAACCGTAATTTAATTTGTTCTATACTGGGTACTGGAAATCGAGTGTCTGCGGCAACAGACACTGACACCAGAACCTTGTTCACAAACAAGCTAGGTCGTCTCATCAGCATCTTGGATGTTTTCCCCATATCCCCTTAGAACAAGGCCCCGGATCAGAGTATCCCATTCAACCGGATCTTCAAAGCATTGGTCGTAAGACACACAACAGGTAAATTTGCCATGCTCCTCAGCTTGCAATAGCACCTCTGACGCCAGGTAGTTTGCAATGGCCCAGTTGTACTGTTGAATCTGGGTAATGATATCAAACGATCCCATGAGCTTAACCTGCCAGTATGGATCAATTATCTTGCAAGCCATGGCTTCTTTGGGACTGATAACATATGTGGACCCTGAAGGAGACACAAGTTCAAAGTTGATACGGAGCTGAATAGCCGGATCAATCGTGATCTTGGCTTGGACGTGGACCTCTAGGCATTCATCGCTGCAACAGACATGCTTGTCATCCGGGTTGGCTGCGACAGTGTTAGCACTCTACTCTGACAGGAACAGGATTTTATCAAAGGGCCAGCGTACTGCATCTCCAGCCCAGCTGGGTACTTGAGACGATCCAAAAGTCCTTCAAAGAGGGCTTGGAGCTGTGTCGTTGGGCAGAATTATGTTGTAGTCGAATATGCAGCTCTCTCACAGTCATGACTCCGCAGCCGCTGCGTTCAATTGCGCTTTGGAAGATGATATTGATAATGGTGGTGGAAAGTGTTGGGGTGCGTGCAGCTACTGCCACAAGGCTTTCTGGCGTGTCATGTCGAGACATAGTTTCTAGAGCGAAATTTGTCACGACCTTGAAAAATGGAGAAAGGTAGTGGAGGGAAGGGCTGGAAGAAGGAATGACAGGTAAGTCGTGACACAAGATGCCATACTTATAACATGAGATCTTCTTTACTACGGACTACGGACCGAGGGGAGATTGCTACAGGCAATTGATGATCCTTGTGTTGAGGACTGTTCCAGAGGTGCCAAGCCGGCATTCTGCATTTTGTGACCGGAAGCTGTAATAATTTCTTTACATTTAGCTCCTGGTCATATCAAGAACAGCCATTACCGCTTTTCCTAGACATTCTGTTCTTTGTACAGGGTGTCAATTTTGATACTAAATGATTATCATATGCAGTAGCCCGTTTACGCTTTTCCAATCATGCCTAGTGGTAAAACAGCAACCCAGAGTCTAGTGACGTAACAAACACCCACTAGTTCTTATTCTCGGGTTCCTGCATGTACCGCTTTTGTGTTGGCAGTTGCGTGCCCTACACCGCCAATTTAGATTCATGGACAAAACACTGTTTGGACACAGGCATGTAATCCTGTATTACGTTCCTAAAGCCTTAGAAACAATGAGTGAGGATGAGAAAGCTCCAAGGCTGTGTCTTCATTGGTATAGTGGTTAGCAAGACAACAGAAGGGAAACAGCGCGAGCATTTGGGACGTCCTAAGCAGCCCAGAGCTGAGGACGACTAGACGCCCTGGTTGTGACAACGTTTATACTGATGAGCCCGCGATTGGATTCCGAAATGATGCCCCGCTCGACGCTTGTTCGGATAAAGCTGTTCGCCATGTTGACAGTACCGACAGTCATATCAGCGACAACGGCATAGGTGATGAACGTCACCATGGTTACAGAGACGGTGGCCATCGTCGTGGGGTTCAGAATTGAAGCCCACCGGCGCAGCTGAACAATGCTGCCTCGCGGCATCTTCGTGATCATGTGTCAACTTTTCAGGGTACCGTAATGCCGAACACTTCTACAATAGACGAAGATGCCGAAGGCGAGCTCTTACCATTTGATTGGCAGCGATTGTGTAAAGACCAGTACCTTAGAATATGGTTGCATCTATCTATAGGTTATCACGTTATCTTCAAGATGTACGAAGTAATCAGAAACGCCACGGGTTTGAAGCAGCTGATCGAGGAGGTCGACAAGAGAGTCAATGGCGATCAAAAGCTAATTCTACTCCGCTGGCTCTCTTCAACAGAGACCAGTCGGAGAGTTTTCGCACGTGAGCTGGTCACACTGCGATCCCTGTGTAGCTGCTCATCTAAGACATCAGCAACCACTGCCGCACAACACCCTGGGGGTTACATCGCGCAATCTCCCCAGATCGTACCAATGCACGGCTCGAAAGATTAAGGTTAATGCTATATTAAGTAATGAAAAGATTGGTACAAGTGGTAACCGTAATAAACTTGTATATCTATACATCATTTTAACCCAGCCCTCTCCCGTGATATCCAGACTGTTACATGAACATTCCCCGTTATCAAATGTCAAAATAGCAGAGAGGCAGAGGAAACTTAGTAGTGGGCGACCGGAAACTCCCCAACTTTCCCAAGCAGGTGGTAACTTGCAGGGGGAGCCTGTAAATAAAAAGCATCCAGGCAAGACTCACAGCACACCGTATCTTAGTGTCCCGTTCAAAACGGGACCGTCAAACGGGAAGACGCAGGATGCACTGTCAGCACCAGCACCAGCACCTCAGCTGTGGGTTTATTCGTCGGGCGCTCACCGTCCAGCTGTGGGTTGATCATGCCGGGTTCCGGTAAAGGTCTGACAATCCCTGCCGTCACGACAGGAGCCATAAATGGACACTGACAGCTCTGGACTGCATGAGCAATACGCAGTTGTTTGTTTGTGTAACAGCGTCTGTGCGCTGGCTTCTGGTAATAAGGTACCAAAGAACGGTCTGCAGTGGTAGAGCGTGGTAGCTGCAGGACATGACGTTACACAAACTGTGGACATGCATGATCACCACTGGTAGGTTATGCAGAAGGTCTATGGAAGACGGCCGCAATGTTGCCGTGAACGCGAGTGACGGCAGAGCGTTTGTACCGAACATGCAGCAGAATGATAATCCTAGGAATCACCTGTAAGAGTCTACAAATGTGTTGGGATGCGAATTTCATTGACGTGTGTAGACAGTAGTGGTTTGTCTATACCTCCTTCTTTCAAGAACCGGCCCTATGTAGATGAAAATGCTATGGCCCGTCTTATAAGCCAGAAATGCAAAAGGACATATTAAGAAAACAGATTCATAGATGTAAATGAGCCAGTTATTTTGTTCTGCCTCATTGACAACACAAAGCCCGAATAACAATGCATCTCTGTGTAACAGATGTAGTGTTGAACAGCAGAATGTTGGGTTGGGGGGAAGATTCATAAAGTTCTGTATTTCCCTCCTCCCTGAGGCTGTCTCACTCTCACTCTCGAACATCCCATCACCCATTTACGCTATCATTTATCTCACTCAGAACCCACGAATCGATCTGCTATTGAGATGGCTTCTGGTCACTTATCCACCCCCTTGTCTTCTCACTTACACTTACTTACACCACAACAGCCGAAAGTAGTACGCCTCCAGGTCCGCAGGCAGACTTTCCATTTGAAGACGCCGCCTACGTGAAGATCACTTCCCACGTGGTTGACTACGATGAGCACCTTGTCGAGTTCTGGGTCGAATGGCGCGAGACACCTAACAGTTAGTAATCTAACTAAGTAATTAAATTACTATTATATTATAAAGGTATATAAAAAGGAACTTAATTTAATTAAGATATATATATAATAATAGAATATAATAGTAGTAAAGCTTATTAAAAGCTCTCAATTATAAACTATTTAAGTAATACTAGTCTAATACTTAATTAAGAAATATTTAATTAAATAAATTATAAGGTTAGGGAAAGTCCTAATTTAACTAATTAGAAATAGAAATAAAGGAATTAAGATATATAAATAGTAATATTACCTTTAGTAAGGTATAATAATATATATAATATAGTTTAATAAAAGCTTTATATTTTAAACTATTTAAACTAATTTATTAAATTACTTTATAAAGTGATATTTAAATTATTAAAGTCTAAGGATAAAAGTAGTCCTAACTTAACTAGTTTTATAAAGAAATAATAAATTAAGAAATATAATTAATAATTATACCTTTCTTCAAAGTATAATTCTATATAGGGTTACTAGACTAGTAACTACTTAGTTATAACTAGTCTAGTTAAGTAACTAGTCTAGTTATAACTAACTAGTTACTAGGGAGAAACAAAAAGTAACTATAGTTAGACTAGTAACTAGTTAGTTAGACTAGTTAGTTATTAGTCTAACTATTTAGTTAATTTAAAAATAGAAAAAATAACTTATATGTAAATTGTTTCCTATTTAGGTATTTTAATCTCTGATATAGAATAGGCTATAAGATAGAGTATTATATAAGCTATTATTTAAGCTTATTATTAATATATTATATAGTAAATTAAAAGAGATATTCTTATTTATCTTTTTTATCTCTTTATTTAAGTCTATTAAGGACTTTTAATAAGATAAAAAGTCTTAATAATAAAGTATTTCCTATTTAGGAAGGAGGGAAAATTATTTAATATAACTATTAGATATAGTTTTTCAAACCTTCTACTATAGCTTAAAAACCTTATTTATTATCTATTTATTACTAATTATATTTACTATTTTCTTAGTTATATTACTATTAAATTACTATTAATTACCTTTCTTATTTTATCTAGTTACTATAAGGAGGGTCTATTAAGTTATATAATTTTAGTTAATTAACTATAGTAGCTTTTTCCCTTAGACTAAAAGACTTTTTAATCTTTAATAAAAAACTTTATTTTATATATATAAATTTTCTATTTATAACTTTAATTTTAATAGTATTTTTATAGTCTACCCTTAAAGGGATTTAATAATTAATATAGCCTAGTTAATAACCTATATAATTTATATCCTATGGCCTGTTTTTAAGGTATTAAAGAAATCCTTAGGGCCCCTATCTTTCTATAGCTCTCTAAGTAGGTTAATATTCTTATTAAGTTAATAATACTAGCTATAATATTAACCTAGGGTTAATATAATATTATAGCTAAAAATAATAAAGGCTAATAGTTTTATATTAATTTTATTATTTTACCTAATTATTAATAACTTACTGGCTTTTTTTTATATTTCTTTATAGTCCTTAGGGATAGTATTTTTATATAATCTAGTTATAATAATATTACTATTAGGCTATTATAATATTTTATAGACTTATAGCCTTATATATAGATATTAACGAATAGGGGTATTAACTATAATTAATATCTTAACTATAATTAAGGTTAGCTTAGTTAATTTATCTATATAAGAAGCTCGTAGGTTAATTTATAGCTTGGTAGGTTATTTATTACGCTCTTTTTCTATAGGTATAGGTTAATTAAAGTAAAGTATAAAGAGGGGAAAGTAACCCTAGTAGTAATTCTTATAGGGGTTTTTATATTATTAAGAAATAAAGTTATAGTTAATATAGTAGGTAATCTTATTAGATTTAAGATATTATTACTTTTTAGTCTATATAAAGACCTTTATTATTAATATTTTTATAGATTTAATTAAAATAGCTAGATCTCTTTTTTAAAGGTATTACTAGGCTTTATATATAATAGTTAGGTTTCCTAAGGGATAAACTAGACCGTTCTAGGTTTATATTAATAGGATTATAAAATATAATCTAAGCGGTAGTAAAGTATTATATCTCTTAATAGTTAATAATATAGGTAAGGCTTATTAAAATAAAGAAGTTATATTAATAGCTAGTAAGTTAAGTTCTATAAAAATATTAATAAATATGTTTTATATACTAAAGTATAGATATTAGACCGAAGTGAATATAAGGTCGGTTTTATATAGACCGGGAGCTTCTAGGCGTTAGTCCCGTTAGTATTTAATAAACTAAAGCCTTCTTAGGGGCGGTCTATAATATAAAATATTAATTAGAGGGATTTATAGGGTATATATAATATATACGACTAGGTCGTAATATAATCTCTTCCCCTCTAATAGTCTTATCTTTAAGACCTATATAACCGCCTGTCTATCTATTTTTTTAGGTAAGGTCTAACCTAGACTTATAAAAAATTTTATTATATCTTACTGACGTTATATCTAACCGTATATTTTAAATTAAAGTTATATCTAAAAACCGTTAAGGTTTTAAAACTATTCTAAGTATATTATTAAGTACGGTAATAAAATTATACTATATTCTTATATATTTCTAAATATGGTTATTTCTATTAGATTAAAGGTAACTAGTCTTATTATTATTAAAATTATACTAAGGCTAAGGTAGTCTATAATAGTACTGGGGTAGTATCTTATTATAAGTATCCTAGCCTGTTATTTTTTATAGGTTTTTTATTAAATTTTATAGTATTCTAAAATATAAAAGCTTATACTAAGCTTAAGAAAGAGAAAGAAGATATAGAGGCGGACCCTTAAACTTATTATAGCTTATCTTACTTAGGTTTATAAGTAAAAAAGGGCTTTAAAGAAAGGAAGGGGGATAATTTATTTAACTTATAGTATATAATCCTAGGAAGGAGTCTAGGGAATTAGCTTATTAAGGAGTCTTGGCGATTATCGATTTATAGTCCTTAGATTATTTCGTATTATTAACTAGAACTTTATTTACGTTAATATTCCTATTAATAAAAGTTCTTTAGGAGTCATTAGGTATTAATAAGGTATTTTAATAATTTCTATATATTTTTGCTTTCTAGGTAGTTTTTCTATTTAATTAGGTATTCTATTTTACCTTTATATTTATATATTTCCCTAATTGCTTTTACTTTATGAAGTTCTAGTCCTTTAATTTCTTTTAGTTTATTACCGATCTTAACTTAAATTGTATTAAC